TTCTCTTTTCCTCTCTTCTCCTCTCTCCTCTCTCCCGTCTCCTCTCCCCTCTCTCCTCTCTTCTGCGTTTCACGACCAAGTCCAAAAGTGACGACAGTTCTGCATTTTGCCACCAGGACCCCCCCGATCCCTGTGACTGTTGACACTTTTGAGATGCGAAGACCAAACGCAAGTCCAAAAGTGACGACAGTTCTGCGTTTCGCGACCAGGACGCCCCGATCCCTGTGACTGTTGACACTTTTGAGACGTGAAGACCCAACGCAAGTCCAAAAGTGCCGACAGGTCTGCGTTTCGCCACCAGGACCCCCCCGATCCCTGTGACCGTTGACACTTTTGAGACGCGAAGACCAAACGCAAGTCCAGTCCGAAAGTGACAACAGTTCTGCATTTCGCGAACAGGACCCCCCGATCCCTGTGACTGTTGACACTTTTGAGACGCGAAGACCAAACGCAAGTCCAAAAGTGACAACAGTTGTGCATTTCGCGACGGTTTTCGACGCGGACGCTTGCGGACCCACCGCGAACACATGTCGGACGCTTGCGAACGCTTGCGGACGCTTCGCACGGATTTCGCGTCAACTCCCAACCCCCAACCTCAAAACGAGAACCCTTCTGCTGCGTATTCGGGAAAAATCTAGCGAAACTACCATATTGGAAAAGAGGGCCCCAACCCCAATATGTCAGGATCTTAAAAAGGAGTGCCTCTAGATTTTGAAAGCCCCCGCATTGTAGTTTCGGAAGGTGGCCCGCCTTAATCCACGCAGCTTAGGGTTTAGGATTTAGGGTTTCGGGCTAAACCCTAAATTCTACACCCGAAATCCTCCCATCTTGACAAAACAACCCCATGCATCCCAGGCTCCCCAATTATACCTCTGTTTTCAAGGAACTCGAGTTATCACGCACATAGTCCCGTGCCGATATTACCGCCGTAATCCCTACGGATGAAGCGCATTCCTTTCTCCCACGCGAATCCTTTGCCCCTAACATCAACCATCCCCACCCCTTGACAATAGATATGTCGCGTCAACATGTAAACTCTTTTGTGGTGAGGAGTTGGTAACCTTGATTAGAATCTTACAGGCTTGTAAGTTACTGTAACCACCAATCCCTAAAGGCAATGTTTCTGTTGCCTTCATCTACCCACAAGCATCCTTCAGGAGACAAGTTACCCAAACCTTGAACGCTACCCCTGGAACAGCTGCAAAGGACCCCTAGAACTCCTTTGCAGGATAAAAACCCCCACGAACACCCTAAACCCGAAACCGCAAGCCAAGGTGCCGGGAGCTCCCTTGATTGGAATTGTCTTCGGCACCGTAGTGCGCCTGGTGGTGAAGTTTCTGGTTGAGGGGTTGAAGAGGTCTGCAGGGTTCTGAAGGGTCTGAGGTTTGTAGGGCTTAGATTGGCTAATGCCCTCACGGGCTTCCTGGTTTGTACCGCTAAGGTTGTACACTGAAAGAATCCCCAATATGGCCGTAAGATATATCCCTGATATGAGCCAATGTAGTCCCATGGGGTCCCTTAAAGGATCCCAAAGCCAAGGGGTACAACCTTAGGGGTACAGGCCTGAAACCTTTGGCAGTTGGTAATAATTGCAATCAAAAACTGTAAAGCTCTTAATGTGACCCCAAGTATAGATTCCTACTGGTTCTTGGCAGTTCTCAAGGTTTAGGGTTTGATTATCAGGTCAAGCTTCACTGTAGTATCCCCCATGCTGCCCCCATGCTAGGTTCCTAAGTCACTGAAATTGTTCAGGGATAGTTTGCACTACGTAGGGCTAATTAACATGGAACAAAATGGAGGTGGGGGAGATGTATATGGGAGGGTAGGAGCCCATCATGTCTTGGGTTTCAAGCTGTTTGCAACAGATGGATCGAGCATCGAGCTTCTTGTGTGCTAGCAACGTGGCCATGCATCATCCAAAGTGGACCAAACAAGGAAGCATCAAAAGGTCTGAGTGCTGAACCCTAAAACCCTAAAACCCTGAACCTTGCGAAATGCCTATAGTGAAACGCTTCCCAGGGCCATTACTTATCATGGCAGGCTCAGTCCTATCAGCATGACTGCTACAGCTACTGATGTGCTTCAACTTTGCTTCACTCTCCAAAAGTTGCCTCCTAAACCCTAAATCCTAAACCTTAGCACACTTCATTCCTACACCCATACTCTCTGTGTTAACTCTCCTTGTAATGACAATGAGGTGCTGGATCGAGGGCTGGGTCAACGGCGTTGAAGGCTCTGTGTTCGGATACCCCTTTGGCACCGCAGGCAGGAGGTCAATCAAGCTTTTCATTTGTTCGGGGTCTGTAGGGGCTTGAAGCAGGGTTTACATGCGGATCTTGTCCTGGTTTGGAGGAGTTGTCGAGTTGGCGCTTGCCTTGGTTGTGAAGTTTTGGCATAAGGGTTCACGGTTTTAAGTTTGGAGTTTGATTGTGGAACTGAGGGGGGTTTCATGCACAGAAGTCCACATGTAGGCCCTCATCTTCTCGGATCCTTATTCTAGGTTCTCCTAGACCTTAAACCCCAAACCCAAAACCCAAAAACCCAAACCCTGAACCCCAATCATGGCATTCCTCCTGCGGGTGGACAAAGGCAACAGAAAAAAATTGTGTACCCTTCCCCTTGTGGTGCAGTATCGCAGGTGACAGGTCTGCAAAGGACTTTCACATCTTCGTGCCACACGGCCTTGTTCCTTGTCCTGGAGGGGGGATTATATAGGGGATTGTATATGGGACTCCTATAGGGGATATAAAGGGGGATGCTAGGAGTTTAGACATTGGCACACATGGCCTTTTTCCTTGTCTTGTCTAACCGATGGAATTCTGAGGCTTACACATGGCTTTACAGGGACTTTGTGGATTGCATGGGGCATATCCTGTAGAGATTGTACATGAGTGATTGTAGAGGGGTCAATGATAGTCAGAGGGTCTTTTGGGGGGGATTGCGGGAAATCGAAATTACATTTTTTAGACCCTAAACTCTTACCCCGCCTAAACCCAAAACCCGAAATCCCTGATCCCATAGTAGGGCGTAGTTTTTTGCTTGTTGGAGGGGCAGGGAAGCTTGTCTCCTCTGGCTACTTTGGGTTTAGGGTTGAGGGTTTAGGGCCCCCAGTCCATGGCCAGTAAAGGGGCCCCCACAGATTAAGGACCTCATTGAAGGGTATTGGAGACGATTAGGGCTCTTCTCAGGGCTTATTAGGTCTTATTGGTTGCCCATGGTAGACCCCCTAAACCCTAAATCCCTAAACCCTAAATCCCTAAACCCTAAACTATGGTAGTCCTATGATCCCATCCCTGACTATCCCAGGCAACAGCTGTGGACTCCCTAGGTCTCAGTCAGCATTGTTGACAGGGTTTAGGGTTTTGGGTTGGGTACTGCCNNGGTTATATATAGCCCTTAATACGACCCCTAATATAGACTGTTACTGGGTGGGGGCAGTACCCAAGGTTCAGTGTTTATGGAAGATCCTGCATGGCCTTCGCAAACTTTTAAAGGGATGTCAGGGCTATGAAAAGATAATGGGTTTAGGGGTAAGGGTTAAGGGTTACGAGATTCGGCATAAGTTGTTTGATAGTAGGAATCTTACACGACCTTACTATATTATCATACCATGATTTCCAAGGTATGATATACTCCCTAAATCCTAGACCCTTAACAGGGTCGTGCGGAATCCACAGTAGTATAAGCAGTCTAGAGCTGCCAACAGCGTAATCTCCATGTGAGCTAAAGTCTAGACTCCTTAAAGGGGGGTATATACGGGATTTTATAGGGTTTTGAGTTTAGGGATCAAGGTTTAGGGTTTGGGGTCTAAACTCCTTAAAGGGGGGTAATGTAGGGGACTACTATTGGGGTTATTAGGGGGATGCTAGGAGTTTAGACTATAGCTAATGTGAGCGTGAGCTACAGTCTAAACTAAGGTCCCAGGGGATGCCGCTGCCCTGAGAATTTAAGGTTTAAACCCTAAACCCAGGGGTGTAGGGCTTAGGTTTTTGAGCAGTCCCAGTTTAACAAGTCCTCACCGCAACCCAAGGAGCAAAACACGGTTTAAAAGTATGATAAGGGATTCACAGACGGGTTTTGTTATGAGCATCGGGTTGCACTGCGGAATTGCCCAGGCGCACCCGGGGCGAACCCTTGACTTGTCCCCACTTCGCCACGGGTTGTCAGGGGTCCCAACAAGCCCCACACCCTAAATCCTACAATTGCCCCCCCCCAAATTAACAGCGAACCCCGTGCAACTTGTCGGGCTGCATCTATAATTGGGGGCGGCGGGGGGAAGGCGGTAAGCGCAAGGTGGCACAGCCTTCGCTAGATGGTCTCGCCGGTGCTCTCTGGGAAGGATTCGACTGGGCCACTCGGTTTGAAGGCTTCTGGGCCTACTGTAGTATATTGGGGTTATATAGGGATCATGGAAGAGAAGCTGGAAACTTCTGAAATGGGTTATATAGGGGTTATATTAGGGATAATGAAAAGAAAATGGAACTACTATAATGGGCTAGCGGCTATATATGCTTTATATTGGGATAATGGAAAAGAAAATGGAAACTATTATAATGTGTTATAGATAGGCCAGAGATGGCAAGGCTAGCTGGAAACACATAACAATGCACCAAGTAGTCCGGTAGATTTTGGCCAAAGAACTGTTGGGGTTTGGGGGTTTCTGAAAATTCTGGATGCCTTTTTTAGTAAGATCCGGTTATCTTGAGGAAAGAAGAGGCTTCGAAAGTTGAGACTGCCGAGCTTGCAGCATGTGGCTTGCGATTTAGGAGTCAGAAGGAGCATTACTGGGTTGCTGCTAAGGAACGTAAATGAAGTTACCATAACATGGGTAGATTGTACCTTATTATGGTAGTTCAGCTTATAAGTTCCTTAACAACAACCCAGATCCATACTGCACCCCTGAACCCATAAACCGTACCCCCTATAAAGCTCAACAAAGTCACATCAAAAGCTCTCCAAGCCAGAAGCTGTAGCTTGAAGTTGAGGTCTCCATAGACGTTTACATGAAGGCATGGTTAAGCGTTGAGGGTTTAGGGGTTACTTACGGGATTGAGGGGAGTACTGTAGGGGATATTAAGTGGGATACTAGGAGTTTAGACTACATGGGTTACATTGCGAAAAATGAGAAAACGGGAGGGGATTCCCAACATTAGGGATACTTTTTGCGAGGTTCCCATCATAAGGACTATATAGTATTTGGGCATCTGTATTGGGTTCCCCCTGTTTTGGGAACCTTTGTTTTGGGAACTACACAATCTGTCATGCCGAAAAACCAGCCTTATTCCCAGAAAACCTCCTCATTTCGTCCATTCCCTGGCTCTCGTCCCGAAACCTGTAGTCTCCTCAAAAGTTCTTTTTCATTTGGGTGGTTGTCAAAATTATGGTCCCTTTTTGGGTACCCTAAATATCAGGTGCCGTACTACACTAGGGATCCAAAAGGGACCAGAATTTTGACAACCACCCGTTTGCATTAAAGTAGAGTCCTAAGGAATGAATAGCCCTACTCTTGATTATATAGTCCCCTTTAAGTAGATAGAATATGGGATATTTGGGGATCTTATTATCCTATACCCAAACCCATATTCTATCTACTTAAGAGGGACTATAACCCTAAACCCTAAACCCTCAAGAGTCGTTTCCATTTTCTTTTCCATTATCCCTATATAACCCCAATATAACCCTACGAATCTACTTAAGGGGAACTATAGGTCTAAGGGGGGAATTACAGCAACCCAAGGCCCTGAATCCGGAGACCAGTGCTACGTTCTGGACTGCCGTGGCTACGTTCTGCTACCTTGACTTTGAAGTGAAAAGTATGTTATTTGGGGATACTATGGTACCCATTAGGGATTAGGGTTTAGGGGTTTAGGGTTTAGGGTTTTAGGGTTATTTGGGGATACTATGGTACCCAAGTATAGAGTAAGATTATGTCCTCCTTTTGGGGTAGAGTATTTTATATAAGGATTAGAATCTTACTGGGTTTAACCACCAAAAAAATCGTTACTCAAGTGGAAGTACCATAACTCGGCCTGTTGGGGTCACAGTGGTTCATATGAGCTATAAACGAAATTCCTGGTAATCGCCTATATAACCCCCTTTAAGGAGTTCAGACTATAGCTCATATGGATAGGTTCCTTGTTTTAGCACATTCAGGTCCCCACATGCCGGGTCTGGCTGTAGACGGAGGCCCCTATGTGGGAAACGATTTGTGTAGGCCAGCTTCCTGCAAAAACCGATATGAAGCTCCAACCAGCATCAAACAAGAAATGCCGCAGAAACGAAGAGCTACAGTACTCGGTATAAGTACCTGGGTGAACGTGGACGTAGTTGCATAAGAGGGGAATGTGCACTCAAGTAAGGTCAGTGATAGCAGCGGAGAATCATTTCGACGGAGCTAAGAACATTACAGCTTCTGCAAGAAATACCATAGCTCTTCAACATTCAATCTTCTACGCATGCAGGAAGTATGAACGAGCCTCTAGGTGTTATTGAAGCATTTCGGTTATGCCTGATCGGATCAGGTTAGGATGTCCTGTTGAATGAACGTCTACATGTGCTGCCTTTCCGCTTACCAAACTGGTTTGGAGCTGGAGGGCACGCGAGCGAGCACCAGCAGTTTTTTGAATGCTCAAGGTTGCGAGAATGCATCGCATGCATCAGGTGTCCGGGGACCTGAAAGGGCACAGACAACCTGTATTTCTGAGCAGCCAATCCCAAAATCAACCCTAATCCCTACTCGGAGGGTCAGGGGGACTTAGTAAGTAGGTTAAGAATGGGGATAATTCGGATTACTATATGGGTTATAGGGATTATTAACCTACTTACTAAGTCCCCTTGACCCTCCAAGTAAAGCCTAAACCCTGAACCATCCTTAACTTCACCTTGCTGAGCCTTACTGGTGGTTAGTAGGGAATAAGGGAATACAATGCCTACATACTACACTCCTGGAAACTAACATGGAAACCCAAAAGGGGCCCTATAAAGACTACAGTCCCTCTAAAATGGGTCTATATGGGTTTCCATGTTAGTTTGGGGGAGTGTTTATTCCCTTATCCTCTACTAACCACTAGTAAGTGTACAGTAGTTTCCCATTGGCCAGGTTACACGGACCTCTTGGACTCCTCTGGCACATTTTTCGCGGTTGCAAAGGTTGCAGGGCTCACAGACAGCCGGGGTAATCTCCCCTTGGCCCGTCGCTCGGCCTGCATTGGGTTTCCAATATGGTGTGTCTAGAAATATTGGAGGTCCTTTACTTGGGAGGCTTTATCCTATGGTGTAGGAAAGCGCAGTCTACATTGGACACCCCCATGGATGGAAACTCATATAGGAGGGTGGCTTTTTGGGGGCATGCATGAGAACAAATTTCCATTGTTTCTTAGAGGGCCTCGTGCATGTTCTTCAGGAGCAGATTGCAGACTGCATCTACTGGGTGCTTCCAAAATTTCAGCGGGTTCCCTTGTAGTGGTGTGTGGTAAGGATCACAATATCTGCGTGTTTTAAAGGAGGACCCTCGATTTTGCAAATTTGCTTTTTGCAAGAGCTCACCGTGCTTCCTTCAATTGCTGGCTGTCACTGTAGGAACTCCCCCAAGCTAACATGGAACCCCATACAAACCCCTTCGAAAAAGGCAGCAGTCTTTGTAGGGCTCCTTCTCAGGTTGCAGATTTGTTTGGGGGACGGAAGGGTTTAGGCACAGCCTCAAGTGGCACTGGAGAGTTCTCCGCTCAGGTCAGAACATGGCATACCTGGCAGACGCACTCTCCATGTTGGCCGGGCGGGAGGGGTTGTCGTGCACGCCCGAGGGAGGATCAGAAAAGCTTCTCACGAATTCTTTCATTTCTGCCACCAAAACTGGCACCTATTGACAGACAGCTTCAAAGCAGTGACTATAGCATGCCAAATATGTCTCATGCAGATTGTGCTGTGAGTTCCTTTCATCTCGCCAAACATTGACAGGCAGCATATTGGAACCAAGCTTGTCACATTCCCAATTCAAGGCCATATGCCTTTCAAAATACTTGTTCCACTTGTAATTCTCTTACTACTAGATGTCTTCTTCCCGTTTAGAGTTGTACGAACCCAGCTTATCTTGTCTTTAATTCGTACTGATACGATGGGAGATGGAATCATCCAGTATGATCCTATATACTTGATACTTAGGAATTGTGGTAAGTACTACAGTAGACTTGGGGGCAGGCAGACATTTTGTCCCCGAGTAGTTTGGTAATAAGAGGGCCTTGGTAACCGCAGCCCAAAAGAATGACCCTACAACTGGCATACGACGATAGCAGTGTGCTAATTTTGGACGTTGCAGCATCGTCTTATCAGATGTAACATCATCCATTGCTGGTCCAAAACCTTGAACCCCTATAGTCCCGCTCAAGTAGAATGTGGGTTATATGGGAGGTCCTCTAATGGTTTTGGGGAGTTCCATATTCCATCTACTTAAGGGGGACTAAGCGCCTGACACCCTGAAGCCCTAAACCCTGAACCCTAAGCTGTAGACCCTGAACCCTAAACCCTAAACCCTAGACCCTAGACCCTAAACCCTAAACCCTAAACCCTCAACCCTAAGCCTCAACCATGTGGCTTGGTAGGTGGGTTCCAGTCATATACTCTATAATCCCTATATAACCCATTATAGTAGTTTCCATTTTCTTTTCCATTATCCTAATACAACCCATAACCCTATAAACCCTAAACCCTAAACCCCAATATAGGGAACCAAAAAGGGACCATAATTTTGACAACCACTCATGTGGCTTGGTAGGTGGGTTCCAGTCTGGGGGTCTCCACGGTGAGTACCTTTGCCGAGTCCACGGCGGGGGTGGCCGACGGCGCCAAGACCGGCCTGGCCTCTTTGGTGACAGGAAGGAGGTTGTCAAAATGGGAAAAAGGTTTAGGGTTTAGGGTTAAGGGTTAAGGGTTTAGGGTTAAGGGTTTAGGGTTTAGGGTTTGGGGGTCTCAACTCCTTCAAGGGGATTACCTAGGGGACTATTATGGGGTTGTTAAAGGGGATACTAGGAGTTTAGACGATAGCTCGCATGATAGGGTTTAGGATTTTCTGAGCGCCATATAATCTCTGTATCATTCATTATCATTCAATATGTTCAGGAATGGCTAAGACCGGTTGATGGTTGGGAATGATGGCATGGAAAAGATGAAAACTACCTTACTAAACCGTTAGACTTCAGGCTTCTAGGGTAGTCTCTGATAGGAGAGTTCCATCTACCCTGTAAAAAATCGCCCACTCCCTGCCTCTCTTGGGGCCTTCATAGAATGGGCAATCTAGAACTCAGGACGCGATAGAAGAGGGGCCTAGTAATAAGCAACAGCATCGCGATCCTTTAAGCCTCGAGCTTAATGATGTTCACAGATGTCACCCACAAAAAAGCAGGCCCTGACGGCGACGCTGCGTGATACCCCTGGACTTTTCCTTCAACCCTAAACCCTAGACCCCTAAACCCCGAAACCATAACCCCTAAACCCACAACCCCAAACCCAAACCCCTAAACCCTAAACCCTAACCCCTAAACCCCTAAACCCTAAACCCGAGAAACTTCCCAGGAAGCTGCTTCCTACTTGCCATCCCCTTTTCTCCGGTGGTCTCCGCGGTGCCAGCCCTAGGTCTGCTTGAAAGCATGGCTGCCCTGGTTTAGGGTTCTACTATTATTAGTAGTGTTATTGTTGTTATGACGATTAGTAGTATTACTACCATTATTATTGTTATTATATTTATTTTTATTAGTATAACTATTATGATTATTATTACTATTAGCACTGTTCTTACCACTATTACTATTATTATCTGTATTTTACCCTTCTCAGATTGCGCCCAGGTCCCACCACTGGCCTCCGGCCCCATCTTGTGCTGCCTGGGCGCCATGATGTGCAGTTCCGTGCGTGGCGTGAACTGGGATGATTTCCAGGAGTCTCTTCCTGCCTTCGTGGCCATGATCACCATGCCCTTCACATTCAGCATTGGCTATGGCATCATCGCCGGCCTTGGGCTGTGGATCTCCATTCAAGTTCTGCTGGCCCCTCTGCGGCTGTACCGTGGGGAGAGCCCCCTGGTGCGAGTTCGCTTGCTTTGGGCTTCCGCCTGGGTTGAGAGCAACGACGAGCTGGAGGATGGCAAGGGGACGCCCAGCACCATTACACCCAGCCAGTCGTCCGAGCAGGTCTAAAGTCCAGACAGGCTGTTACAAAACCTTTGTTATAGGCATTCCACGCGTGTACAGGATTTCCCCGCGATGCTTATGCCGTGCGTGTACAGTCGAACCTGTCGCTATGGCCTAAGGAGGCCGCGCGGCATCAGATGGCCTGTGAAGCGGGCGTCTGGAATTCGTTAACAAGCACGTTGGCGTGGCTTGCAGCGCGGTTGCCTGGCTCTTTTGCCCGCTGTTAAGCTGCGTGCGCCTAGAAGCAGCACCCTGCGGCCGCATAAGGCGACTAGCAGGAGGCTGTGATGAGAAGCTGTGCTTCCCACATCCGTTGGCTGCAGATCAGACACAATGTCCTGCAGGAAAGGGGATGGCAGGGCAAGTGGGGGTTGTCTGCTATAGGATTCTGGAGGTTGTTCTTCCAGAGAGAACTATGCAGATTAAAGTTTTGCTGTATGGGTCACAGGGTGTTGGCAGTTGATGGGTCGGGGTGCCATTGGCACAGCAATGCTCCTGCCTTGGCTGTAGGCCATATCCACTGAAAAATCCAACAGGTAGGGTTTAGGGTTTAGGGTCAGGCAGACTCGCAAACAAAGCAGACCCCCATGATGCCGTTATCCAAAATCCCAGACAAAGGCCTGCTCTGTGAACAGGACACCAACCAGTCTCCAGGTGTACCTAGACCTACGTGTACAAGTCACGCCTATGCCCCCAAATCACATCCTCCACCTGCTTCCCCACGCACGAGAACACATTCATGAACGGAACCCGAGAGAATATCATGTTTATGATCCTTTGCCGACGGACGAAATATTTCGCGCTTCAGGAAGAACAGGACTTTGGGGTCCTAAGTGGTGCAAGATTATGCACCATTGATTGCAAGAAAAAGCCAAAGCCGGTTCTGGGCCTTGTGGTCATCTAGTCGAGACCATTGTGAATGCATCTATGCATCGAGGCTCTGAGGGCGGATCGAATAATATTGCGTCTACCATGGGCCACAAATTCTACACCCTAAACCCTAAACTTAAACCCTAACCTCCCCAACTTTCAACCTTCTGTCTGAAATAGGGCCCCGTCTTCGTGCCGCATCTGCTGGGGCGGAGGCTGCGTCGCTGCCCTGAGGCGGGGATCGTCTTTAAGGCTCATGAGACGTAGTAGCTGCCCGTGCGTGGATTCCTGGGAAGACTCTGTGGGTTGGATAGTATAAAAGGGTTCTAATGGGAATGAAAACAGGGAACGCCAAGAATATAGTAGGAATATACCTGAATATAAGGACCCTAGGTATATTCCCATTATATCGGTACGTCCCTGCCTTCCGGGGGGTTATGAGCGGATTTAGATGGAACATCCCCATCGATTTGTTTGCTTTTTGGCCCCTAGATACGACACCCTAAACCCTAAACCCTAAATCCTAAACCCTAAACCCCAGTACAACCCTAAACCGCCAGTTGTTCACTGGCTTTACCATGTCTGTTGGAATTTTTTGAAAACCCCATTTGAGCCATAGTCTAAACTCCTTAAAGGGGGATATATAGGGGATTATATTGGGGACTATTATAGGGCTTATTAAGGGGGATACTAGGAGTTTAGACTATAGCTCATTTATATTCCTATCTAACTGACCACACTTCAGGCTACTACAGGTATAAGTGGTAGTTTCCCAAAATGAGGGGACCCCAGTATAGACCTCAAAATACTCTCGTCCTTACTATAGAGACCCCCAAAAAGGTACCCCTAATTTTGGGAAACCTTGAACCCTAAACTCCAAATTGTAGCTTCCATTTTCTTTTCCATTATCCCTATAACCCCTATATGCCCCCTATATACCCATGATCTAAGGTACCCCTAATTTTGGGGAACCTCAGCTGTAGCCCCCATGATCCTTCAAGCGAGGACATTTGGGATGCCGGGAAGAGACTGGAAATCGTGCATACAAACAATAACAATTGTAATAGTGATAGGAGCCATAGTCTAAACTCCTTAAAGGGGGATTATATAGGGGACTACTATAGGGGTTATTAAGGGGGATACTAGGAGTTTAGACAGTAGCTCATATTATAATAGTATTAGAACTAGTCTTACTATTGGTATGGCTGTAGGCATTCTCCTCCTTGAGCTCATGGCTGGGCGCTGTAATTTTCCAACCGTAGGCATATCCTCGAGAGCTTTTACCGCCCAAGAAGTTTGTTTGTGCAAGCACCTGGCTATGTATGCCCTGTTTATGCCTGAAAGTAGAAGCCCCCGTAAAACCCTGTAAAACTGAAGGGGTGGGTCATTATGGTAAGGCTTGTCGTATTTTGGATCTATATTAGGGTCCCGCTATTTAGGGGAACTGCCATACTGGTTTCAAAGCTCTAAGCCCTGAGCCGTGAAAGCCGGAAGCTTCACCTCCTCGCCCTGAAGCCTGGAGATACCCTAAACCCTAAAACCCAAACCCCTAAACCCTAAAGCCCTAAAGAGGGCGTTGGGTCTATGGGGTTTAGGATATGGGGCTCAGGATAAAGGGGTAGGGTTTAGGGCCGTTTAGGTTTTAGGGTTTAGGGCTTAGGATTTAGCGTTGGTGTCTTTGAGGCCAGGGCGCTGCTCCTGAATGCGCATCGTGGAGAAGCGTCCCAACAGCCGCTGTAGCTGGATGTCCTTGCAAGCCATAGTCTAGGGTTTAGGGTTTAGGGTTTAGGGTCCCTTAATAGCCCGATAATAGTTCCCTATATAATTCCTTATGTAACCCCCTTTAATGAGTTTAGACCCTAAACCCTAAACCCTATATGATCCTCATAGAATCCCCCTTCAAGTAGACCCCTCAGTACTTGGAATGACTTAATACTCGGAAAGTCAAGGGAAGTTAGTAAGCGGCTTAGTAATGGGGATGACTGCGGTTGCTGTGTGGCTTACAGGGGTTATATGTATACTTAGTAAGTCCGTTGACCCTTGAAATCCCCTGCATGGGGCGTATAGGGTTGTAGTAATGGGCGCATAGGCCTGAATGGAGGGTAGTTGAAGGATCTAGGCTCATACTTGATGATGTTTTTTATACTTGGAGGCTTATGGGATGTCATAAGCGCGGTAACTGAGACCTTGTTTGGGCTACGTCTCATGGCTTTCCAAGTAGAGTCTCATATTCCCCCGCCTCAAGCCTGCAGCCCCGAGTAAGGCATCAATAAGCTACGAATAGCTTGTAGTTCAGCTTACTGTGTGGCTTATTGGGCCCTTCCCCAAATAAGGAACTCCAAGAATATAGCAGGAATATAATGGAATATAAGGACCCTGGTAGGTATATTCCTATTATATACCTACTATATTCTTGGGGTTCCCGGTTTGGGGTTCCCAGTAGAGTCCCTTTATTATTTGGGGCTG